TAATAGTGTTTCCCAACGGATAGGTCTTAAGATGAACATGGACAAAACAAAGATCAAAAGACCTGGTCCTTCACTGCTGGCCGTATGAGGAAGCTCAAGGTCGCTCAGCGAGCTATGGAGAGGGCTATGCTCGGAGTTTCTCTGAGTGATAAACTTAGAAATGAGGATATCCGCAGTAGAACCAGTGTGACCGACATAGCCCAACGGATTAGTAAGCTGAAGTGGCAATGGGTCGGCCGTATAGCTCGAAGAACCGACAACCGATGGGGAAGAAAGGTTCTCGAGTGACGGCCTCGTACCGGTGGACGAAGTGTAGGACGTTCCCCAACTAGATGGAGTGACGACCTGGTAAGATATGCAGAAAGTCGATGGATGCAGGTGGCTCAGGACCGTGCATTGTGGCATTCCTATGGAGAGGCCTATGTTCAGCAGTGGACTTGTGAAGGGCTGTAATGATGATGATGATGATGATACACTTTAAAGTTAGTTTGTTAACCGACTTCAAAAGGGCGGAGGTACTCAATTTGATTGAATGTTTTTTTTTTATGTATGTTACAAAGCGTTACCTCATAACTTTTTTGTAGGTAAATCGATTTTGAAAAGTATTTTTTTATTTGATAGCTGAAGCTTCTTATGTTATTGAGTTATCTATATAAATAAATAAAATTGAAGTGTCTGTTTGTAATGTCAAAATAACAGTTTTTTACTAAATGCATATGAAAGTATATATACGGTGCTTATAACAAATATACAATTTGTAAAATTTTTGTCTGCCTGTGTTTGGTCCGGCTAATCTCCGAAACGGCTGGACCGATTTCGTCGGAACTTTCACTGGCAGATAGCTGAAGTTATAAGGTGTAACTTAGGCTGCTTATATTTTAGAAACAGAATTAGGGTTCCGCGCAACATAATTAAAACAATAAATTACACGCGGCGGGGAACAGCCAGTCCTTAATAATTTATATTGAAGTCGGTTGTACAAAAGGAGATGAACTTCGTTCCATACAAGCTTGGGCCTGGCGTGAACAAAGTTGAAATATATCCTATTTTGAAGATTTAAATATTTGTTACTTATGACAAAAATCATACTTCTGTAGGACCTCGGGTTTTGTTTTTATTTTGTTTTATTATTTGTAGCATAGAATTATTACGCATAGAATACTAGTACGCGCACCGAAAGTGAAGCAAGTAAAACTAACTCGAAACCGCGTAAGTTGACTCAGCGACGCGTCAGTGCGCAACGTCACGTCTGACGGAGAAGAGCTCACGTAAAATTGTAAAAATTACCGTTTATGTTGTAAAATATTGTCACAACGGTGACGATAAACATAAAAGAAGTAATGGTATTACATTTCACATATAAGTTTATACATTTAATTCATTATAAGTACATAAAACTAAAAAAATACTTACCTAAGCTCTCATAATACAAATGTTGCTAGTTGTGGGGGAAAAATCACAATTTTCTTTTAAATATATTTATTTTCTATTTGTGTTTAAAACGTTTAATCGCAACGCTCTGTGTAAAACTCAAATGTTTATATATAAATACCTACTTCTCTAAGTTTTAACATTATATTAACAATGGGTGCCTATTTAAAACTAATACGGAATGATCAGTTAATCGCGATTCGTCGACGCCATTTTAACGCGATATTTTATTTTAATTGCTTTTTTATTGACTAGGGTTACGTTTGAGAGTATATAATAAAAACTTTTTTATTTACAACATCATGAGATTATTAATAAGAACGCCTTTACTAACCAGATGTCACTTTACACCCAAACATTAACCAGATGTTACGTTAGACCCAAACATAGCCTATTTTAACCGACTCCCAAAAATAAAGGTTATCAATATGTATGTACACTGATTTCTAAGCTTGATCAATTCGTATATACATGCTGAAATTTTAGTGGTTGTTGTCCCGCAGCCAAATTAAACTGTCTCGATAGTAGAGTCAATTTATTAAATTAAAAAATATTACAATTAAAAAAGGGCAGATTTACTATAGTAATACCTCACAAGCTATTCGGGCGTCCAAACTAGTTTATGTCGTATCACTACGCTTGAGAGTTCATGTTATGAACATTTATTAGTGGTCCTTCACTGTGTAGGAAGCGCGCGGTAGCACGTGCGATAGACGTAACACTACATTACGTCCAGCGAATTTTTTTTCAGACTTCATTATAGTAATTCGGTATAAGCTAGCCTGTACGCCCGACCTACTTGCGAGATAATGCTATTGGTTTGAGATCGCATTCGAGTATTGTTTTTCTCGATTGTAAATCTGCCATTTTTACATCTATTCTATTGTACTACTAAGGCAAAATCATTTTACTTCGGGAAAACAACCATTAAAATTTCAGCGTGTATATTGGATCAATCTGTGTGTATATCCTTTCAAAAAAAATCTAAATCGGTTTAGAAATTGTAGAATTGTGAGGTAAAAAATATTAAAAAATACACCGATTTCATAACCTCCCCCCTTTTTGAAGTTGGTTAAAATTAAACATTACACTCACATTACATTTGAGCAAATTAATTGTGTTTAATAATATTCTTAAATTTTATTACGGCTGCATTTTTTACCATTAATATATGTATAATAAAGTTATATTAGTACCATCATTATCGTGTTTATTTTATTCCATTTTATATTCTCATAAAATACTTCTACTAAATAATCTTCGTACATAATACGTAATCTTTATTATATCGATTTTTTAAAATTAATCAAAAAATAGTGATTTGCACAATTTGATTGCAAACGCCAGAAACTGGTATCACTGAATGGCGTGTATGTGTGCGTGTGACGAGCGTAGGCACATTCGACTCGCGCCCACTAACATAATGACTTTGCATCATTTTAACGCTCGTGTTTTGTACTGGACTGCGTTTCTATGCGTAATAATTCTATGATTTGTAGGTTATCTAGTAAAATCATTCGTTCTTGGGATAAGTTGTTTCAATGAATTGAAAAGAACACAAAAGGATGCCGTTTTATGGTTATTATTAAATAAAATAAAATACGTCTAAAAAAATGTCATCTAGAAAAGCAGCCGGAGACTGTACATTGTCTTTTCTATTCCTCTCAAAACCCAAGTAACACATTATTGTCATTATGTGGGCGCAACAACCTACTGTCCTGTAAATCGAGAAAAAACCCAGGGGTCAAGTGAAATTAATTCACGAAAATAAAAACACGAAATATATCCATAAACACAACCACAATACCAAATTCGCATGACAAGTTTAAACTCGAAGTTACCAAGTTAAGTCTCCTTTAAAACAGGCAATGACCAACGACCATAAAGTCTATTCAATCGTGTCCGATATTATTCAAATATTTTGTTTAGTTAGTAACGTGGTCTATTCAATCGATTTTCTAAATAGATTTCTTTTATTCAGTATTAATCTCTACAGATTCGCCTCAATGTTTCAATATTATGAGTTTTTTTTTTGATAGTGAAGGCTATTTATTACAAAAAATAGCCTTCATTATTTAATGCCATTGACAAAATACATAAAAATATTTAAAAACGTCTTGTTTTTGCTACGGTAAAAGCATTAGCTTTCCTTTTTCAGTTTAAAAAAATGTTTTTGTGATTGTCCCATATACTACAGAAATAAAAACCATTTAATTATGCTAATAATTTATCGTTCCCTTTTTCTAGAAACTTTTTTTCTTTTTTTTTTTTAGAAAAGGGAATGAAAGTGAACGCAAGTAAGACGAAAGTTATGGTTTTTGAAAGAGAAGAAAGTAAAACGATATGTGAACTAAGAATAGAAGGGGAGTTGGTAGAGCAAGTAGATGAGTTTGTATATTTGGGATGTGTGTTTAGCAGGGATGGTAGATATGATAAGGATATAGAACGACGAGTGAATGCAGGAAGTAGAGTGAATGGGGCTCTACACTCTATTGTGAAAAGTCAGAATGTGTCCAAAAAGGCACGTATGGCAATTCACAATGCTGTGTTAGTACCTACTTTAATGTATGGTAGTGAAAGTTGGGTGTGGCAGAAGAAGCATGAGAGTAGAATAAATGCTGTAGAAATGCGGTCATTAAGGAGTATGTTAGGGATGAAGCTGAATGACAGAGTGAGAAATTGTTTAATAAGAGAAGAGTGTGGTTTGCAAGATGATGTTGTGACCAGGATTAAGAAAGGAATGCTTCGGTGGTTTGGCCATGTAGAAAGAATGAATGAGGAAAGAGTGACAAAGCAAATTTATGTTGCAGAAGTGAACGGCATAGTCGGGAAGGGTCGCCCTAGGCGAAAGTTTATCGACCAAATTGGCGATATATTAAAAATGGGCCAAATCAAGAGTACCTTTAACCGACGAGCGTGTATGCGTAGGTATATGGATGTGGAGGAAGCGAGAGGTGTGTCAGGATCGTGCCAAATGGAAGTCCATAATCTCTGCCTACCCCTCTGGGTGACAGGCGTGAGTGTTTATGTTTATGTATGTATGTTTATAATTTATCGTTATATTACCTACATATTTTTGTATAACTGTTACGAACGATGTCAACAACTCAATTCCATACATATCCTTTTTAATGTTACCACTTGTTTTATTAGTGATATTGCAAAGTCAAAAGCTGACTTGCACATATCAGTCGAAAGAAAGAATCTGGATTAGTTTGTTAACAATCCCAATAAGCCTATAATCTATCCTGCTAATGCCACCATATCTTACCCTGTTAATGCATTGTAAGTTAGCCTTAGATGTTTCAGTTCGAAAAGTTCCACTGTCTTATTTTAACTTTTGAGTGTCGTACCAGACGTATCGCACATTTGATGCTACTGCTAGTCGTATTTTACGTCTGGCGTAAACTGGATGGTTATTCCGCCATTTATCGGAAACCATAAGAATTTTCTGGCATTTTCTATAGCCACCACTTACGATATTTCGCCCCATGGGATTTGGCGTGATGCTTTATCTTACATTGCTACTATACGACATTGTATTAACGCAAAATAAGTTTCACTTACAGATACATCTTGAAGCCGATCCAAGCGATTATTTAGGCGAGGAAGGTATGATAAGCAACGAAGCCCGCTTAGGAATCCTTCACAAGATAATGGGTGATATCTTGGGCCTCCATGTCAAAGATCCAAAGGAGATATGCAATCTGGACTACACAATGGGATACTTTCTGGGAAATCACGTGGTGAGGACCAATGCTATGCTCAAAAGCATCATATAATCATTTCTGTTTCGCATCCTCATAATAAGTCCATGGTAGTTACTACTCAAAGACGTTTATTTTTTCACAACTGCTGAATATTAAAAGGTAATCTTGTAAAATTATAGGTCACTTGTACAGTAACCTAATGGCAGGATGCCTACCGCGAACTCGGAATGTTCCTGGGTTCGAATCCGCCATTCGACCACTGTCTAGAACCATTTCCATCCAACACAAACATTTTAAGTTTACCAGGAGTGGTTTAACGGAATATTAGTAATGTTAATAAAAATACTAGTGTTTTTGTTCTTAAAAAAAAATGCTATCGAAATAAGAGTAGGAATGACCTTGCGTGATTTTGTGACGTTTTAGCTGTCAATTCTAACCAGTTACGTAGGGCTTACAAAAGAACCATTTACGAAACATAGAACACTTCTGTGCTGCTCTTGTTGACACTTTTGAAACAAATTTAGTCGCCTCTGTGCTGTACCCGTTTCTACTTTTTAGCCCATAATAGTCTCGTTAAACATGGATCCCTCCCATTTACAGGAAAGATTTGTTTGCTTGACAGCTATATGCTGGTTCCCGTCGCCGCGCTGATTTTTTCACACCTGCCGTAAACGCAATGGTTATACCGACATCTATTAAAAGCCATAACATCTTTTTGAGATATCCCATAGTCTCATCTTACGACACCCTTGGGACTAAATTGAGTGATGGGTTCTTTTACGCTGCCACCACCACAAGTTTTATCTTACACCGAAATAATTCTGTCAACTCTTTGCTTCGTTCTTTTACAAACCAAATAATCCTTTAAATTTCTTAAGCTTGTAGTTCATAATTGATATAATCTTCCATTATACCTGCGAGTGTTTTTTTAATTAAATTTTCAATGAGGTAGATAATGAATATTACACGTAAATGTAGCGCGGTTTAAAAAAAATAAACGTCTTTCAAGAACTCTAATTATTCATTACTACAATAGTGCAGTTATGTGATTGCATATTATGCATACTTTAGCAGTAACATATATGACTACATAATATGTCCACGTACCTATACAAGCTTCATAGGAACACCGTCATCTGGTATCATACTCATTTCATATGGTCAATTTTCAAAATTTCCAATTCATGCCCTTGAACATAGCACTGCGTATTCCGTGAGTTCTGTACGTATATATAATAATTTTAATAAATATAAATAGTATATTTTCAGTAAATATTTTAATGTTATATAGAATTTGCCGATGATTTGACACCTACCCTCTTTGATCGTCCTCTCAAGATAAACTTCTGATTTGTTTAAAAATACAAATCCACACATTCATGTGCGTAGTATTATATATACATACACACACATATATGTATACGTGGTAGAGACATCCTACAGCTTTAGTAGTATAGTTGTAGCACGAATGGGTCGGCTCGACCGGGGAAGGACCACGCTCTCACAGAATACCAGCGTAAAATAGCAGCTTAACACTTCTGTGTTTCGTTTGGTGAGTGTAGAGAATCGGAGACCCTTTTTACTGGAAAAGAGGCATTCCGTCTTAGTCATCGTGGCTTACAACGCATCTGCATTTTATTCGCAAACGAGGATAGTAGTCTATGGGCCACAGCAACCACTTACCATCAGGTGGACTGTGTGCTCGTTTGTCACCCTTATCCTATAAAAAATGTACTCCAAAAACGACAAAAAATATCCTTGTCCCTTGCTGTATTAACTGGATTTTCCTAAAATATTTGTGTAAAATGTAAATGTGTAAATGTGTACCTTTTTTAATATTCCTGTGAGAATTATTGGCGATGATTCTCAAACTTCACAAAAAATCGCTCCACAAGATTAGCATCTCACAAATACAGTAATGAAGATTTAAAAACATTGAATGAAATGAAAATACGCATTCGAATTTTTATTGGACCCGAATAGGAAAAATAAACTATATTCATAGGAATAGCGTGGCATAGCATATTATTTGTTCAGATCTTATTTGTGCAATCGTGAGCAATGTATTGAGATTGAATGTGTAGATAAGAAATCGAGTAATATAGTAGTAGTAAGTAGCGTAAATAAGATTCCCCAAGGTAGCGTAATCGCTACTGGTTCACTTAGCACACAGTCCCTCCGTGACTATGTGTGATGTTTACTGACTGCAGTGTGCAGACTATCGGAAGAGGCTCATAAAATAATTACGATCTTAATTTTACAATTAGTCCTTGCCACTGATGATGTTATGAGAATAAATATCCTCACGGAACACACATTGCTAAAATTTAAAAACGAGAGAGACAACAATAAAGTTAGAGCGTGTTGTCCGGTAGGGCGCGTGGACGTCGTCGCGCGCTGGCCCCGGCCACGTGACGGTGTGATGGCCGGTGAGACCCGCCTCGCTTCGCAATACCCCTCGTACTCTGTCTGCTTTTTGGAGAGTTCAACAAGTTTTAAAGCCATCAATTCTCTTCTTGCTTTTTCCGAAAGTCATCCTAACATTCAAAATGTTTGTGAATTGGGTAGATAGTTTATCTTAATACTTTAAGCGAGCATTTTCAAATATTACATGAATATTATAACGATGCAAGCTAAGTCGCGCAGGTACTTATACCTTACCCGTAATAAATATAATCATTTTTTTTTTCGGAAAATAATTCATATTACTAAATTATAAACATATTTGGTTTTAATTTGAGTATTTGCTGGTTACCTTAATTAAAGATATCGCTAAAAACTTTCATTACCTGAAAATGGTTAGAACAATCTTAAAAAATCAATAAAACATTATAGTTTTTCTCAACTATACTTATTGAAGTCTCCAGCCCCAATAACTGTTTTATTTCTCGTGATTGTCCAGTTGCATGTTAGAATAAATCTGAACTACCAAAAAGCTATACATGGCTGTTACCAAGTTTTTACGTCTGTATGCTGTTTGTTGAGTAAGTATATATTATTTAGCAAATTATCGACTTGCTGTGCAATTATTATGAAGATTAAAAGCCGTAAAGAAAGTTATATCTATAGTTTCGTTATGTAGCGTTTACCTGCTAATTCTGGCTAAATATAATTTTGGATACCTGTCACTGGTACCTTTGTTATCTGTTGGATACTTGTTAAACTATTGCAAATATTTTCGAAAGCTACTTAAGTGAACCTAATATTTATATAATTGCTCCTAATAGTAATTATGAAATATAAATAATATATTATGGTTATTGGAATAAGAAACTAAATAACTATACAATCGATACAATTTAAAAATAATTACTTGGCTTACTATTACGCTCTTTTAAATGGTTGTTTGCAGCTTGCAACAAAATGCTTGAAACAATGCTAGAAAATAAATAAATGTAATAAGCACAAGCTGCTCTTTTTACACATAAATTAAGTGAAATTTTATTCTTCCGTTATCGTTGCATGTATCGGTGTAAAGGAGACTTCTATCTGAGTTTCGCTATAAAAGTGTAGTTTTCTATATAAATAAAAAAATTAAACGTTAAGTCTGTTTCGTTTTATGTCTGTTAAAGTGTACAGTTTTCTATTGATACTGATTTGGCTTATTGTCTTATTTTCTCTCTTTTTAGTATAATGCAATAATATTTAATTGTACATAAAAAGTTACCTAATACATTTTATTACAAGGTTCTCTATGGTCCCACAAAAATATCATTTGGCACATTCACTTTCTAGATTTTATCAACGAACTGTTTTTTTGAGTGGTAGAAGTCTCCTGTTGTATAGTATAAATGTTTACTTAAGACATTAATTAAGTTTTATTTATCCGCAGCATAAGCTCTCGTTAGTGGACGGTTGGTGTCCGCCAGCGGAAGAAGGCACACGCGTGCAGAAGTTAGACAAATTAACTATTCAATGGTGCATGAGAGGAGAGGAGCCCATCGAACCTCCATCGGCTACATTTTTACCTGTATGCCTTTATGAGTGTCCTGAAAATTTCTCAACCGTAGAATATTTTGATGTAAGTAAAAGCGATTTATTCAAAATACATTTTCCTTGTAGGAATTTCTTGACAAGCTTATACTGCGTTTACATTCAGACATTTCCGTTGTCGCGTGCCCAGCCGTATGTATTTCCGAAATGGGTGTTTACATTGCGCGCCTCAATTAATATCACTCGAGAGTCGAGAACCTTCTAGATATTTCCATGGAAGAACTTTCTGGAACTATCGACACCTAGTCAATCGGGACCGATTTGTACTCGAACATTCTAGATGTTTCTACAGAAGAAGGTTCTAGAAACTGTCTGAGGCACTATATAAGGCCGGTATAGACCGCGACCGAGGCAGTATTGAATTGGCGATATAAGCGAATACTTCGAAGCGATGCAACTGCGAACTAATGTGATCAGTAGTACAATTGTGTTTTTATTATTAGTGTGGTTTAAGTTGTAATTAATGCTCTGTAATTAAAGCGTAAATTTTGGTAATTCACTCGGCAGTTTTAATTGTCTCGAACCCCAAGCTCGTAACAGTATTTTCAATTCGACTCTGGGCAATGGATTACGTGGAATTGTCGCAGCGTCGGCGCTCTTTGTGTTTCAGTTTGTGCCCTTTATGCGATGGGTCCCGTATAATTCGTTCACTTGAAAATTTTTTCAAAAACTTTAGAATTTTTCCGTTACTCCATTCTAATAGCATGATAAAGGCGGCTCGAAATCAAATTAATTGCAACACGTCAGTCACGTTCACGCGTTCGCTTCCGACTGAACGTAAGAGCTACATGTAAACAAAGGTTGCCGCTCGCATTACCGCGCTTCGATGTCTGCAACAAAGACCGCCAAATGGGGGATAGCCAGGCAAGGCAATGGACATGACCTGTTTACATTCTCGCTTTTCCCAGTTTATTCCCTATGTCTCTGCTCGTTGCCATGGCAATGTGCTGAATGTAAACGCGGTATTATAATTGTTACCTCCGTAACTACAAAAAACAATATATTAGTACGTGGTAGACCCAAGCTGTAGCTTTATTGCGGTTGCAGCGGATTGGGTCGGCTCGACCAGAGAATGCCCACGCTATCACAGAATACCAGCGTATAATAGCAGCTTAATGGCACTGTCTCGTATGGCGAGTAAAATAGCCGCAGGCCCTTTTTACTTGTAATGAGGCATTATGTCTTAGTCATTAGGAGTGACAACGTGTTTAAATTTTAATTATTAATCGAAGATGTAGGTGTCTTTGAGCCTGTGGCGAGCGAAGAAATCACGCCGGGCTCATTACTTGCGGGATGGATGCTAGGCAAATAAAAGTGTCTTCACTCCTCTAAGAATATATATTTTAACATTCACATAAAGACAGTTGGAAATACAAGTTAAAGTATGTAGTGAAGAATGATGATATGTGATGAAGAAGATTTGGTTTTATTTTTTTAGTATGGAAAGTTTACTTCAGATTAATATTAGGTCTTCACATATGAAATTAGCGTTTTGTATAGGAGGAATATAAAGTCAATTTTTTTTTGGTAAAATATATTTAATTAATCAAAGTATGCACCGTTGTTATCTATGCACTTTTGCCATCTTATAGGTAGTTGATCCCTTTACTAAAATCAATAAAAAGAATCAATAAAATCTTTGGAGGCGGTTTGGACTGCTGCATCGGAGTTGGATTTTTTTCCTTGTAAGAAGTTGTCCAAATTCCGGAAAAATGGTAATGTGTTGGAGCAAGGTCCGGGGAGTACGGTAGATGTCGCAAACATTCCAATTATAGCTCATCTAACTTAGTGGTTCTTTGTTGTGCAGTGTGTGGTCTTGCGTTGTCGTGAAGCAGTAGTGGCCTAGAGCGATTGACCAATCTCGGTTGTTTAGCAGCTAGTTCTTCCTTCATGGTTTGCAGTTGCTGACAATAGATATCTGCCGTAATCGTTTGGCCAGATTTTAGAAAGCTGTAGTGAACGACACCGGCGTTAGTTCACCAAACACACACAAGTAACTTTTTCTGAGTCAATTTTCGTTTAGGGCAGGATTTGGCTGAGTCTCCAGGGTTCAGGGATCCGCTTCCACAATAGCCTTTAATTCTTCATTTTCCACTTTGGTCTCCGGCTGTCCACGGGGTTGGTTCTGAAGGTCGAAATTTCCAGAACGAAAACGTTGATACTGAAAACGTACCGTGCTTTTTTCTTTTGCGACACCAGCTCCGTACACATCATTAATCCTTCGAGCTGTTTCTGCAGCACTGGTGCCACGGTGGAACTCGTACTCGTAAATATACCGATATTTCATGTTCCATTGTGCGGTAATAAGCGACGCCAAAGAAAAAAATAATGAGGAAAAAACAAATGAATGGCTGTTTTCCGAACTAAAACTATTAGTATACACAGAAGAAGCATCAAGTGTTAGTGAAAGTTTAACAAACAATTTACAAAAACGTGCTAGAAATAAACGGTAGCTAATTTTTTTGTAAATAACAATAATATAATATAATTTTGTAAATATCAATCAGTGTAGTTTGTAAATAAATTGATTTGATTTTTAAATACGCCTAAGATGTTGCAGTATACGGTTGGCGCAAAAATTATTATTAGGATTATGAATCACTAGGGGTATATCGTCTAGGAAATCTTGAATAACACCTTGTAACATGTACGAATAATTACCACCCATTAATCGTTTTTCAATGAAGTATGGGCCCACAATTATGTTATCAATAATTCCGGCCCAAACATTTACACTAAATCGCACTTGATGATAGTTATCTTTTAAAGAGTGTGGGTTGCATATTGCCCGCTAATGTTCGTTGCGACTAATATAAAGCTCTACACGCGTAAATAGGGTTTCGTCAGTCCAGACAATGTTAGTATTATAAATTTTTGACAACAACCATTCACAAAAATGTTTTCGAAGTAGACCATCGTTATTATTCAGGGCTTGCACACGTTGATAATGAAAAGGGTGATATCCAAAAGAATTCAGTAGTTTCCAAACGTAGTACTGGCTGTGACAAGTAATACTACCTACGTTAATTTAAAAATAGGTCACTCGGTACTTAATGAAGTCACGGTCAATTCATCACTGTCGGGTGTCGGCCGGACAGGTGAACGTCCCCAGCGGTGTATTGGAAGGGAAAGTGCGGGGAGCCGAGGAGACGCGTTTGTTTTTACCGAGTCAAAACAACTATTAGATACCTAAATCTGTAACTGAGTGCGAGCGTCGAATGCCACCGACAGCTGCTTCGGAACTCAACACTCCCTTACGAATGTGTGCGTGTGTATAAGATAGTAGGTGCTTCATATTTATGAAGGACAAGCAATTAATGAACCTCTGCAAATTTGGCCGGTTATTGAAATATATATATATACCGGGCACACACAGTCGTCGCCCTGTATTACAAGTATGCAAAACCTTGAAGTGGTCATTGGCTAAGCTGTGTCCAGTGTCCAAGAGATGTTAGGCAAAATGTGATTTATCGGCATTACAATTCCTGTAATCCCGATAAATCACATCGCTGGAACAATTAGAGATATTAAAAAATAATAGCGGTAACGTTGCACTGCTGAATGAACAAACAAAAGTTTCCAACTCGCCTCTCTTAAACATGTTTAAGCTTGCTCCTTGATGTTATACAGCCTCGCACCATGGTCGTTTGTCACCCTCACGGTGCGGTGGCGAGCGATTGGTTGCGTGGTTGGAGGGTAGCCGGACGTATCGCAATAGTCTGTTGTTAATTTCATAGCAAATATCTGCGTACGTATCGCATCGTATCGCATGACGTAATCGGTCTCTACGTAATTGGAGCGCGGTTGCGTCAGCAAGTAGTATAAATAACAGTAGTTTCGGCTCGCCGCTCACTTAGCGGCCAGCCTCCGCAGAGTCTACTTCACCTGAGGATGCCTCGTGTAGAGGCGAAACGCGTGTCGTTATTTCGAGAGTGGTGTGTCGTGCCTAGTGTGGTGGTGTTGAGGATGGTAGTGCTGGGATTGACGACGACGGGTATAGTGCGCGCGATTGAGGGAGGGTGGGAAGGTCCCCTTAAAACTGGACAGGACACATCATTTTCTTTCTTTACACGGAATTAAGCAAATTAATTTATAACAACCCCATTAACACTGATTGTTAAGTTTCAGTCTTTTTGTAGTAACTTCAAAGTACCAATATGTATTAAGTAGCTTAATACATTTTTTATAGAATAAGTGTGACAAAAGTACGCAGTCCGCTTGATGGTAAGTGGATGCTGTGGCTTGTGGCGACATGCAATTTTTGTCACTGAACTGCCAAATATTTTCGTAATACTTTCTTTTTATTGATGTTTTCAGTTTTCGATTGTTAAATTTAATTATGTATTGTATTCGCCTTCGGATAAACAATTTTAACAGTAACGTTTTAGCAGTAACGTTTTTTAAAGAAAAAAGAACTCTTATGACTATAACAGTAATTCACCACTATAAATTTATATTTTTTGAAAACGGCATTTAAAATTAGTTAAATAAGTTTTATAAAACACGTTCGCGTCAACCGCATGTATTGTACAGCAGACTTAGTGGCGTGCGCTGGCACAAGGTCGCGCCGCCCTCTGCGCCGCAAAGTCCCCGCCGTTGCTCTGCACAAGTAAATTCGTTTTCCAACTGTTAGATTCAACTGTCTTAGTAAATTTAACATCAACTATATAAGAAAAAATAAATTTTGGTTTATTGTTATATAGTTATTATTACTACATTTGATTTCTAGAATTTAACTTCGGTGTCTATGGGTCGGCTGGTGGTATACGCGGATGTCATCGAGTCAACGACGCATGTGGTTGGTGGTGGCACGCTGGCACACGGCGTGGCAGCGGTGGCGCGGCGCCAACTCGCCGCCCGCGGTCGCGCCGGCAACGCCTGGCTCACGCCGCCCGGACAGGCGGCCGTGTCGCTGCAGGTACCGTGTGTCACGTGTCGCTGCAGGTACCGTGTGTCACGTGTCGCTGCAGGTACCGTGTGTCACGTGTCGCTGCAGGTACCGTGTGTCACGTGGCGCGGTGCCAGCTCGCCGCCCGCGGTCGCGCCGGCAACGCCTGGCTCACGCCGCCCGGACAGGCGGCCGTGTCGCTGCAGGTATCGTGTGTCACGTGTCGCTGCAGGTACCGTGTGTCACGTGTCGCTGCAGGTACCGTGTGTCACGTGTCGCTGCAGGTACCGTGTGTCACGTGTCGCTGCAGGTACCGTGTGTCACGTGTCGCTGCAGGTACCGTGTGTCACGTGGCGCGGCGCCAGCTCGCCGCCCGCGGTCGCGCCAACCAGGTTTGCCAGATTTAGATTCAGTTTTCTGTAGTTTGTGATTCATAGGCGATGGTTCTTAGATATGTGTTTGGTAATATCTCACCAAAAGGCGCTAAAATAAACATATTTGTGCAAACTAATGTTCTCATTTATCTCCCAAACGGTTTTACCGATTTAGATACGATTTTCTGTAAAGGGTGTGTAATTCACCGGCGATGGTTCTTAAATAGGTGTTATGATGTCAACTTACCAGATCGCAGCTCCGCGATGTTAGCACCTCATGTGCTGAATTTCGATTGACCAATTATACCATCTGAAAGGTCAGAAATGGGTCATAAAAGGTCAGTTGGTCTTATTAATTGGTCAGCGTTAGAATTTTTTTATCAATGGTTAAAGTTGTTCAAGGTCAATGAGAAATTTTACACCTAATTCGCGAAAAAAATAAAAAATTCCACCTATGCGCGATCGAGAAGCATTCGCTGATAATTGGTCAGCTTATATAAATATTTGGTCAGTTTAATTTAATATTAAAAAAAAATTAAATAAGTTGTCATTCTCGTAACGCGCATACTTTGGGACGGTTAATTGTATCAGGGCAGTGAGCACTTACGCACAGCTCTATACTATGAACCATACGGAGTGAGGAAAATATTTTTTATAACTTTTTTGAGAAAAAAAAACTGCGGTTGCCAACCCGCTCGCCAAGCGTGGCAACTACGGCAATATACCCCCCATGAGAGTAACGAAGAGAGGCCCCACAGTTCCCGGCGGCCAAGCTATAGTCCTGGCTACGGTGGCGACAATGGTAACGGCGGGGCAGGGGGTGCTAAGAATCTCCGGTGGAAGTTCGGTTGCCACCTACGACGACTCGACCTGGCAACTTATAACGCACGCATCCTGAGGACTGACGGGAAGATCCTGGAGCTGGAAGAAGAGATAGACAAGTTGCGCTGGAATATCATAGGATTATCCGAGGTCCGCAGAGAGGGGGAGGACACGCTAATCCTCGAACCCGGCAACTTCTTCTATCACCGGGAGGGCGAACATTTGTCCCAAGGAGGTGTCGGATTTATCGTCCACAAGTCTCTCGTTAACAACGTTGTAAAGATTGGGAGTGTGTCGACGACGGTTGCGTACCTTATACTCAGAATCACCAAACGGTATTCGCTGAAGGTCATACAGATTTACACACCAACCTCGGCACACCCCGATGAGGAGATGGAGGAAATGTATGAGGATATCTCTAGAGTCATTCATTCCTCAAAAACCCACTATAAAGTGTTAATGGAAGACTTCAACGCAAAACTAGGCATAAGAGAGGACGGTGAGCTGAAAGTAGGGAAATTCGGAATAGGGCAACAGAACCCAAGGGGCCAGCAGCTGCGGCCGACTTCATGGAGAAAGAGGGATTCTTTATGATGAACTCTCTTCCAGAAGCGGCCCCACAGGAAGTGGACCTGTTCGAGCCCCGACGGTTCGACAAAAAATGAGATTGACTTCATTATGACGACCAGACGACAACTGTTCAGTGATGTCTCAGTGATCGCGAGGTTGATAACCGGCAGCGATCACCTAATGGTGAGAGGCACACTAAACCTAAACGTTAAGTTGGAGAGGTCACGTCTATTGTAGTCAACGCTCCGTCCCCCTCGTGCTCTAATCCAAAGTCCCGAAACCTTTCAGCTCAAGCTACGAAACCGTTTTCAGTACCTAGAAGATTGCAATGCAGTGGACAATATGAATGACAAGCTCGTGGAAACTGTCCATGCGGTCGGAGCTAAGTTTTGCACAACCCGCCGCAGAATAACACAAAAAGTCTCCGATCACACTCTTAATCTCATGGCTGTTAGACAGGGTATGAAACTGCAGTCTTCTGTAGATATGACAGCATACAGGCAACTGAACAGATAGATCTCCAAATGGATGCGGCGGGACTTACGCAACTTTAATACTGCTCCAAGAGATCTGTCTGCCAGAATGAGCCAACTGTCGAAGCTGAAGGCCGAGTATGGCAGCGTCGTTTTCGGGACACCTGAGATTTTGAGTGAAATTGAGAGGTTCTACGGGCAGCTGTACACATCATTGTTGCAGCCACACGCAAGTGTGATTAACGATCCAAGAGCAAGTCTTATCCGACACTATTCCGATGATATCGCGGACGTCAGTCTGAGCGAAATTAGAATAGCTCTCCAGTACCTTAAAAATGGCAAGGCCCCAGGCAAGGATGAAATTACAGCGGAGCTTCTGAAAGCGATTGGAAAACCGGTACGTGAAGTCCTTCAGAAGCTCTTTAATTCCGTCCACCATGGTGGTATTACACCGGAGGCGTAGAGCAGAAGTGCGGCAGTCTTGTTCTTCAAGAAAGGTGACAACGCTCTTTTGAAGAACTACAGACCGATTTCCCTTCTGAGCCGCGTCTACGTGCTGTTTTCGAGAGTCATTACCAATCGTCTCGCACGCAGACTTGACGATTTCCAGCCTCCCGAAAAAGCCGGTTTTCGAAAAGGCTTTAGCACCATAGATCAAATACATACCCTTCGGCAAATTGTACAGAAGTCCGAAGAGTACAATTTGCCACTATGTCTGGCGTATGTGGGCTATGAGAAAGCCTTTGATTCCGTCGAAATTTGGGCGGTGCTGCAGTCCCTTTAGCGGTGCCAAGTTGACTGTCGGTATATCGAAGTGTTGAAGTGCTTGTACAGTAGGGCTACGATGGCTATCCGAGTACAGAACCAGAGTACGAAACCTATCCAATTGCAGAGAGGTGTAAGACAGGGTGACGTCATATCCCCGAAACTCTTCACCGCTGCATTGGAAGACGTTTTCAAGCTTCTGGACTGGAAAGGATACGGTATCAACATCAATGGCGAGTACATCACTCACCTTCGATTTGCCGACGATATAGTCCTTATGGCAGAATCGCTGGAGGACCTAAGCACTATGCTCAATGACCTCGATAGTGTTTCCCAACGGATAGGTCTTAAGATGAACATGGACAAAACAAAGATCATGTTCAATGTCCATGTCACACCTATGCCGGTAGTTGTTGGGAGCACTAAGCTCGAAGTTGTTGACGAGTATGTTTACCTGGGACAAATAGTCCGACTAAGTAAGTCCAACTTCGACCGAGAGGTCAATCGACGGATTCAACTCGGTTGAATCGTCTCGTAAGGTATACCTTAAAACTAGAAAACGAGACTGTACAACCAGTGCGTGTTGCCAGTGATGACATATGGAACTGAGACATGGTCCTTCACTGCTGGCCGGATGAGGAAGCTCAAGGTCGCTAAGCGAGCTATGGAGAGGGCTATGCTCTGAGTTTCTCTGCGCGATAAACTTAAAAATGAGGATATCCGCAGTAGAACCATAGTGACTGACACAGCCCAACGGATTAATAAGCTGAAGTGGCAATGGGCCGGCCATATAGCTCGAAGAACCGACAACCGATGGGGAAAAAAGGTTCTCGAGTGGCAGCCTCGTACCGGTAGGCGAAGTGTAGGGCGACCCCACACGAGATGGAGTGACGACCTGGTAAGACATGCAGAAGTCGATGGATGCAGGTGGCTCAGGACCGTGCTTTGTGGCATTCCTTGGGGGAGGCCTTTGTTCAGCAGTGGACTTGTGAAGGGCTGTAATGATGATGATGATGGCCCTACCTAAGTAAACGTCGAACTACTCCTATGCTGCCATTGACTAATCATTCGACCTTGATGTTTTTTCTTAACATCACTCGTGTGCCCACACCTAACTTTATGTGTGATACTAGTCCTCTTGCGTTATTTGGGTCCCCTGGAATAGCAGCAGGTAGAGGGTTCCCTAGACTCATCTAATGCATTTATCATGTACAATTTCACGCTTAGTTTGGTTAACATATTCTGATTGTAAGTGTTAACGAGTTGTAAGTTGGTTATATATCCGGACAGCTTTCCCATCGACAAAGTTGCTCTCTAGAGGAACGCGAGTCCTCTCCAGAAGTAGCCGATACTGTTTCATGCTCATTTCTCTCACTCGTCAAATATTGAGTAGATAGAGAGATAGACAGATATATAGACAGTAACGTAGGAATTCTCTAATAAGGTTGAAATAAGCAAAATGACAAATTTTGAAAAACCCACAACGGAAATAAAAGTTGTAATCGAAAAAGGATTAAATATAATTTTTGAAAAGCCCTCGACTAAAAGGAATTAAGTCACGAAAAATAAAACCATTGATTAACATGGTGATTATTTTTATTTCAGATATGGCGTAAGATGTCTCCAACATTATCCCTCATCCAACACGCGGCGGCGTTAGCGGTAGTTCGCGCTGTACGCACTGACCCCGCCTACGAACACTTAGACATCAGGTTAGTTAATTAAAGTGCTAATATTCCTAAATACCTTTTGTGATTAGTATATATTATATTCACACTTTATCTGTTATGTACATTATATTCATACTCTTTATTTGCTTTTGTTAATCACCTGTAATTTTCTAAGTACGAATATTTTGTCTCTAAATAATAAAGTATCATAAAATAAATAAATGCATATCATATAAATACATATTCGGAAAGGTGTGATGTCGTAGGTCGATTTCTTGTAATTGCTTTGAATTGATTTGTTGTTGTTGTTATGTTTACCTATCATTCAAGCATTCCCTCTTTCAACTCGAAAATGCTTTTGATCACTTAAAAAACCGGCCAAGTGCGAGTCGGACTCGCGCACCGAGGGTTCCGAACAAATCCGTAGGTATATAAGTTTAAAATTATTAAAAATATTTTTATTATATGATGTAACTAAAAATTTATGCTTTTCGCAATTTTTCCTTTATTTGTGCTATAATACGTTGCTTTGTACCAAATTTTAAGATTCTGAGTTCACGGGAAGTACCCTGTAGGTTTTGATTCCCTTGCGAATGTCGAAAATTTGCAGCATAAACGGCTGTCTTTTGATTGCGTTGGCTTAGAAGTTTGATTTTTTTCACAGCTCCAAGGGACAGTAGACTTGTGTATTTGATATGAATTTCAGTTTGATACCTCCACGCGTTTCCGAAAAAAAAAAGGGTCTTGACAGACAGACAAACGGACAACAAAGTGATCATATAAGGGTTCCGTTTTTTGCTTTTGAGGTACGGAATTCCAAAAAGTAAATAAATATGTCCAAAAAATGGTAGGAGCAAAAGGTTTTTTGTATATATAAATATTTTCTTACATTTTATTAATTTGACAGGAGACTGATCCTTATGTACCAGACATAAAGACTGTTTTCGTATACTTTGTTGTAATTTCTATACCAATGACAAGTTTCGGGAATATTGTTGCGCGAATGTGATTATACAGTTTTTACAGACTGTTTTAACAATATCTTCGTAATTTGTTTGTAATCAAAAATATGTCTTTGGTTTCAGGATAAAATGGCCTAATGACATTTACTATGGTCGCGACGTGAAGATAGGTGGAGTCATCACCTCAGCGAGCTGCTTAGATGATGACGTGATTTTACACATAGGTAACAATTTTCATTAACACCCTTATGGTGGAGACTAGCTTATGAATGTGAAAACTAAGGGTAAGGATGCTATCTCCGCTAAACTTAAGAACAAATACCTGGTTGCCAATACTGCGTTTTTAAGAGGATATCTGGAGTACAAGTAATTTTATGAATTGGTTTTAATGATTTGTGGCTGCGCCGCTGTGTCTGAACCATCGAGCTCGACAAACAAGTGAGACAACTGCAGCGTGGACTGAGTATACCTATAAAATATTTACGAAATCATCGTGCAATATTCCCCTGTTTTCTCCTCCAAAACTGAGCTATGTCTGCTTGTTTTTCTTATATTTTTATGTTATAATGTCTAATGACGGTGTTGATTAACTCTACGTAGAATAAAACAAAGTCGCATCCCGCCGTCTGTACGCCTAGATATTTTAAAATACTCAACGGATTTTGATGCGGTTTTAATCAATAGACGGAATTTATGTATGTATAATAAATGAATATTATATATTATATAATTCTTCTGTCCATGTGTATGTCACTGAACTCCTACTAAACGGCTGGACCGATTTTGTTGAAATTTTGTGTGTGTGATTAAGTTAATTGGAGAATTATTTAGATTTTATACGTGGTAGAGCCATGCTGCAGCTATATTAGTAGTATAGTTGTAGAACGAATGGGTCGGCTCGACCGGGGAAGGACCACGCTCTCACAGAATACCAGCGTAAATTAGCAGCTTAACACTGCTGTGTTTCGCATGGTAAGTGTAGAGAACCGGATACCATTTTTACTGGAAAAGAGACATTCCACCTTAGTCCTCAACGCATCTGCATTTTGATTCTTTATTGAGGATGGATGTAGATGTCTATGGGTCACAGAAACCACTTACCATCAGGTGGGCCGTGAGCTCGTCACCCTATCCTATAAAAAAAATCACAATTGGACCCGGTAGGTGGCGTTGTAGTCGAGATCCAGAAGTCAACCATGAGAAGCCTGGGCGGATCGCTAGTAAAGTTTATAGTCCATACAAACTTAATCTCCGTTTTCTTACACAGCAAACGTACTGTATTACAGTTTTAGTAATCTAGAAGGTTTTAAGTTTTTAAAAATAAATTAATTTATGAGAAAAAAATATAGGAACTTGGCAGTGGTAGAATACACATTGTATGGTAAAAACATATGCACTAGAGTCATTATCAGCTTCATTTCCTACACTTTCACAAATGCCATGCTACCTGCGTGAAATAATTACCTACAACGCCCCCAGAGCAGAACGCAGTCGGGGCTAGCGCGTTCTAGGCGATTGAATGTTAAAGTTTTTAACACTGTTTACGTAAATAGTTTTTTGTAAATACTTGTTGAAATACTCGTCGAAATAGTTTTTGTTTAGTGTAAACACTATATTTAATTTTAGGAAAGATAAAATAGTTTAATATAATTTAAGAAACATATATATATTAGATATCTATTTTAAAAGTTATAATGGGTAAACGTCGTTGCTACTATAATTGTTGCGGGAATGGGGATGGATGCTTTAACTAAGCAAAGAAACAAAGGGGTTCAGATATATCATTTTTTATATTACCGAAGGATAATGAAAGGTGAATATATTTCATTTTTATTAGATAGGCGAAAAAAGAATTAAGTAATAATTTAACTACAGAAGTAATACCTAAGTACTTTATTACAAAACTTAGTTGAAATTTACTTCACTACCCAAGTACCCACTTACATATCCATACTTGGCTCCATCCTTGCCCTTTGTAATTCAAATATTTTAAATTATAATAACACAAAATACTGAAATTAAAACTTTGTTTACAACATTTTTAACTAAGTAGAATACAATCGTTTTTTTTTTTTCTAAAAAATCATATTTCTGTTAGGAATCGTATTTCGAGTTTATTTGTTGTTTACCCACCTATTTGTTACGAGCCAAGCATCGCGATTACCGACCAATGGCCTTGCAAGTTGCATGCGTTGGGCATTACAGAACTCGCATAGTAGCGGAAATATGGTCGATCATATTCAGAATAGGTACTTTACCTAAGTAACTTACTTACAATTTCACAATGGATATGTTTACTCTTTGTTAACAGCCCTTAGTAACCACGGAAAGTCCGTTGTGACGTAGGAAGGAGAAAAGATGCAAAGTGATACGGACACTCGCGCGCAGCGATAAAGTTTTATTTAACTTGTGTGCGCGATTTATCTGATTAATAATAACTATGTAGGCTATTAAAACGTTGGTAAGCAGTCAACATGATAGTAGTGCAACTTCTGTACGTAGTACTATTATTTATTCTGTGACATAAGGCTTAGCATATAATATTACTGTATGGGGATTGGTGAAGGTATACGTTAAGTACTCCTAGTACAAATTAATTGTCTTGTATTACATTAATGTGTAATTGTTTTCTGTCTTTACGATTTTTGTAAAAAAATATCCACTAAGAAAACAGAGAATACGTTTGTATAGACGCTATACCTTATAGACTTAGACTTTGTAACGCCGCCTTGATACGAGTATTCTCTTGATTATCATTCGCACATTAAGTCACTTGAAATACTTTTTATGAACTGTCAAAACGAAGGGAACAACAGTAAATGACGTTATTTCCTCTAGTCAAATAAATCAATCTTATCCTAAAACGGAAACCCACTAAATTTTAGACGCTACTAAAAGCATCCAATTCAACTATGATGTAGTTATTTATTTATTTATAATTACTATCCATTATGATGTTTCTTTTTCTGTCGTTGCAACGTGTAAATTGGGTGTTAGATGATTGTTAAAAAGAAAACCGCGGTTTTATGGATTCATAGCTTATTTCAGTCTTGTGCGCTGCGTACAATCGGGTATTCTGCGTAAAGCGTATTTATTACATCCTCTCAAAGTCCGTCGTTAAACACGGGCCGCCATCATAGACTGCCTCTTATGAGAGATATGTGCCAAAGCTGCCACGCTTGGCGCGAGTTAGCAACCGCAACTTTTTTTCTCGTTATTATTAAGAAAACGTCGGACGTCATGCAGCGATGGAGAGAATTTTATAGAGAAATGTATGCGTGTGATGATCTTAGTGAGGGATCCGGGGATGACGCCGTGACTGGTACGCCAGACCCGGACCTCGATGACACTGAGGTCATCAGTATGAAAGAGATTGAACGTGCGATTCGAAGTTTGAAATGTGGTAAGGCTGCGGGACTAGACAGAGTTACTGCTGAAATGGTCAAGTATGGTGGGCCTCGCGTCTGGGACAGCTTTCGTCTGCTGTGCAATTTGTGCTGGCGGACGGGGGATGTCCCAGATGATTGGCGATCCGCAGTCATTGTGCCTTTATATAAAGGTAAAGGTTCACATTTTGACTGCGGGTGCTATCGGGCGATCAGCTTGACCAGTTTAGCAAGTAAAGTTTACTCGAAGGTTTTGACACGGAGAATGCAAGAGAAATCGGAAAGATTTCTATGGGAGGCACAATGCGGATTTAGACCTGGAAGAGGATGCACGGATCAAATGTTTTCTCTCCGCATGATCACGGAAAAGCTTCTGGATGCTAACCAGAAGATTTTCTGTGCTTTTGTGGATCTTGAGAAAGCATTTGATAAGGTTGTAAGGAAGAAAATGTGGGAACTGTTGCCGGGGTATGGTGTGGATGGTCGATTGCTAAGGGCTGTGCAGTCTCTTTACTGTGAATGTAAAGCCTGTGTGCGGGTAGGGCATGACCTGTCACCCATGTTTAGCGTCCAAACGGGCGTAAAACGGTTGTGTCATGTCTTCCTGGCTGTTCATACTGTATCTCGACAGCTGTTTACAAAAGCTGAAAGATAGCTGTTTGGGTGTGAAATAGGGTGACATAAAAGTAAATTGTCTGCTGTATGCTGATGATGCAGTGCTTATTGCACTATCAGAGGCAGAACTGCAGGCATTAGTCACGTGTATGAAAGAGGAATGTGAAATTAAAGGTCTCCGTTTGAACGCTAATAAAACTAAGGTTCTGGTATTTGAAAGGGACGAAGAGAGAACGAAGTGTGAAATATGGGTAAATCAGGAATGTCTAGAACAGGTAAATGAAATTGTATACTTGGGGAGTGCTTTTAGCCGGGATGGAAGATGTGATTTAGATGTGGACAGGCGTGTCGCTGCCGGGAACAAAGTCAATGGTGCCCTGACTGCGTTAGTCAAAAGGCAAGGCGTAGTGAAGAGTGCACGTCTTGCAATACATAACGCAGTGTTGGTACCGACTTTGTTATATGGCAGCGAAACCTGGGTATGCCAGAAGAAGCATAAAAGCAAGTTGAATGCAGTGGAGATGCGATCTCTTCGTAAAATGTGCGGCGTTACCATGGCCGACCGAAAGCGAAACGAAGAGATTCGTAATATGGCAGGTTTGAAAGATGACCTTATCACAAAAATTGATAAGGGCGTGCTTCGGTGGTTTGGGCACGTTGAGCGAATGAGTGAAGACCGAATGGTGAAGAAAATATATAGCGCGAAAGTTAATATTAAAAGGTGTCGAGGTAGACCGAGACTAACTTTCGAAGACCATGTGAGCAAATTGCTCGAAGAGGGTAGGGTCAAGAGTACTCGGATACCTAGACGTGCATGTATGAAGAAGATAATGAATCTGAAAGAAGCGAAAGAGGTATGTACGGATCGTGACACTTGGCGATCTGTTCTCTCTGGTTACCCCGTCAGGGATTGTGCGTGAAGATAAGTAAGTATTAAGAAAACGCTACTGCTCGTAATTTGTTAACCTCCATCGGCCTCTTACAACATCCACGGGACGATATGGGGTAGTGGATATTAACCCGCTTTGATTACACTGCAATACACGCTTTGACCCCGCGTTTTTTTTTCATCTATATTTTTTAAATTATTTGATTACGTTTTGTGTCGCTAGTGCAATCCTAGTCAAGTAAACAAGGTTCAAAGTTGTACGCTGCCAGCACTAACGCGGGCGCAAGTGACAAAAAAAGGCGGGAGAGTACTCCGGAAGGAATTTCATCCCAAGCTATTATCGGTGTTACAAAATTTCTTGTTCGATTTTGAAGTAAATTTTGTAAGTATTGCCAGACGAGAAGATGTAACTTCCCGAACGCTGCCCAGCCGAGTTGAATTCGTCGATTGACCTCTCGATCGAAGGTTGACTTACCTAGTCGGAATATTTGTCCCAGGTAAACATATAATCTGTGTAGGTACTGTTTATTAAAGATTTTTCGTCATTATGGACAAACGTCAGGAAAATATGATATGAGGCTGGTTAGAAGATGTGAAGGTTGTGAGTGATGTCACACCTAGTGATACAGAAGATAATGAAGCGGAGTGTGTTACAGAGCTAACCCGTGACCAAGAAACAGAGCAAGAATATGAAAATAGCACAGAAGAAACGGAAGAAAAGAGCACAGAAGAGATAGTAGATACAGAAATAGAAAAAAATATATGGAGAATAGTTTTTTCTTGCGATGAACGACAATGATGATGATTATTTATCAAAATATCAGGAGAGTAAAACTCATGACTTTTCCTCCTTTCTTTGAAAATACTTTTTTTTTGGTGTTCATGTAATTGAAATATAAATGTGCCATAATATTTATAGTGATTAATAAATCATCATCATCATCATTACAGCCTTTCACAAGTCCACTGCTGAACATAGGTCTCCCCAAAAGAATGCCACAAAGCACGGTCCTGAGCCACCTGCAACTATCGACTTCCTGCATATCTTACTAGGTCGTCACTCCATCTAGTGGGGGGACGCCCTACACCTCGTCCGCCGGTACGAGTCCGCCACTCAAAAACCTTTTTTCCCCATCGGTTGTCGGTTCTTCGAGCTATATGGCCGGCCCATTGCCACTTCAGCTTAAGATCTATCCGATGGGAAATACTATTGAGGTCATTGAGTATAGTGCTTAGGTCCTCCAGTGCAGAAGCGGCCCCACTGGAAGTGGACCTGGTCGAGCCCCGACGGTTCGACAAAAAATGAGATTGACTTCATTATGACGACCAGACGACAACTGTTCAGTGATGTCTCAGTGATCGCGAGGGTGAAAACCGGCAGCGATCATCGAATGGTGAGAGGCACACTGAACCTATACGTTAAGTTGGAGAGGTCACGTCTAATGAAGTCAATGCTCCGTCCCCCTTGTGCTCTAATCCAAAGTCCCGAAACCTTTCAGCTCGAGCTACGAAACCGTTTTCAGTGCCTAGAAGATTGCAATGCAGTGGACGATATGAATGAATGAATGATTAATAAATACTTAACAATATTTTAACACATATTATTTCGTATTTTACTATATTAAACTAAAAAATATATATATATAAATGAAAATGATCATTCTATTCACCCCCCGCGAGTAAAACATTAGAAAATTAGAGCACGAGTTCTGTAGTGTTGAATAGCGTATAAAAGAATATCTTTATTTTATGTTATTATTGTGTGTTATCACACATGGTTATCTTAGTCCACTAAAATCGAGCCAACTGCTGTGGGGAACTACCACCATTTACTGCCTTCGTTTTGATTAGTTAGTTTGTACTGCTAAATTATTATGAAATGTTAATATGATTCCCAGGCACTGGTGTAAACATATCAAACAGTGTTCCAACGACGTGCGTGAACGACATTATATTTGAATACAACAAGGAACGCGGAACCAACCTGGCCTCGATATCGATAGAGAAGTTCCTAGCGCGCTACTGTTCGCAACTCGAAAGAATCCTCGATTACATCGACACTGAGGGCGGTTTGGAGACGTTTTTGGAGCAGTATTACCAATACTGGCTGCATGAGTAAGTATTGATATAAAATATGGTCAAAATTAACTGCCGTATGTAGCGTTTGGTAACCGAAGAATCAATGTCAAGAAAATCGAACTTAAAAATTACAATAGTAACGGTCGTATTGTTTGATATTTGTGTACCAACACAGCCTGTGTTATACAGGCCGCTCGCCCTCATACAGTATGCAGATCATTTTTTAGATTTTTTTCTGCTCCGCGCGGAAAAAACGCTCTGACTCTGAGGGGACCCCCCTCTGGTCCGCCGGTGGCCGTTTTGCTCCAGGTATTTAACAGATTGTGTGTTAATTCCCTAATATCAAGTATATAATTGACATCTCGGTAGCGTAGTTGGCTTAGTCTTCCTTTGTGGCGCTGTGTGTTATCTACAAATCATTGTTCCGGTTCTGGATGTTTTCCCGTTCGTAAGTTTTGATTTTCAAGTTGACTTTTTAGAATTAAAATATGTACTATACTCATTAGTGTACACCCTTAAAGATTACCCTCTGGATGACAGGCGAAGGAATTTATGTATTTATATTCATTTAAAATTTATCAAAAGTTCGACATTGTGATTGTCCTCATGTATATAACATTTCTTGACTTTTCTCCAATATTATCGCAGAAGCGTTAAATCCGTCAAGGATAGTTTAGAAAGGCCTCTGTGTTAGTGCGCACATTTGAGACACTACAATATCTCCTATGGAGTTAGTAGTTTCCGACGATACCCGAAAGTTGTAGCTGGAGGTCGGTTAGTTAGGATGATATCAATTTCACGTTATTTATCTTTGCAGTCAAGAAGAAATCCGCGTAAAAAGCAAAGACTCGGACACCCCTATTGAAGGTACTATAACAGGCGTGGACGAAGCAGGCTGGCTTCGTGTACGCACTAGAGGACAGGAGATAAAAGTAGCCCCTGATGGGAACACGTTCGATATCATGAGCGGGCTCATTGCACCGAAGCTCTAATGGAAAATGGAACCTTTTCTAAGTGGGAAGAGAGGGGAACTACTGTGTAAATCTTAGTCTAGCTTCATAAACCTGACGGGAGCACGTTTCATATCATGATGGTACTCGCTATTCTGAACTTCCAAGTTTAATGTCAGACCAAATACAGCACCAAATTCCTATTCATTATCAAATAATATGTAATAGAAATTAGGCGCCGAGTTCTACGAGATGATTTTGAATTTTATTCCACTAACATTAGAGCATAAAATAAGACAAGTATACCTAACGCGGTGCGGACTCTAGAAACTATTAGTTAAATTAATTGGGAATTATAATAAGTGTGTTGTGGTGCTGATTTTATTTTATTTTTAATTATTTCTATATATTAGCACTATATGATTATATTATTGTAAATATTCGTGTAATTGAAAAAAATAATTACGGCTAGGCGATAGTAATAGCTTTGGGAACTGTTAGAAAAGGTAACTAAGTACTTTCTACTGTTTCCATATTTAGTCGACTTCCCTAGAAGGAGGGTTTTGTTATTCGGGTGTATGCGTTTTTTAATAGTTAGATTGACGTGGAAAATTAATTTTTCATTGTAAATTTTATTAGTTAATAATAATAGATCGGTGCAGTCGGTGCTCTTTTATTCTTTGTTTTTTATTTTATTTGTGTTAATTAATAATTTTAAGTTGTTTTGTAATGTATTATTTCATCAATGGTTTATTAAATCAATGGTTTTCCTTATTTTTATTATAATAACGATTAAATCAATGATTGATTTACGCGTAAAATTGATAACACGGAAAAATTGATTTTATAACTTTAACGAACTTTTAACTAGTAATGAGCAAAACTAGAAGGTAATAGATGTTAAACTGCTTGGTCTCGTTGTTAATTTTTAACGAAGACTATTCTTATATTATTAAGCTAAACATGTAGAGACGATAGATAATGTACCTTATCGTGACGTTAATAACTGTTATACATAGGTTGTTCTATTTAGCGTCTATTTAAGTAGACCATATCACATATTATATAAAGAGCAGCCACGTCACTGCCATTGCTCTCGAATTTAGAATAAGGTGCGATGTTAAATATTAAAATAATAATTGTAATAGCTTTAGGTAAGTGAAAATGAACATTTCAAAATTGTCGGTGTTCCTTTTGTTGCATGCAACAAATCTATATTCTAAAAGTTATCTATAGGACAAATAATATATAATAAATGTACACAAGATTTTCTGTTATTATGTAGCTCTATACCTTAAAAATTTAGACAAAATACTATAATGATGAGGTTTATATGTTAGATAATTAAACATAAAAAATATATATAAAAACAATAGATCTAGACGAGAATCTATACTGCAGTAGTTATAAATTTGAGCCTTAATATTAGTGCATATGACTGTTATGTTGCATGTAATAAAATATATATATATATATATATATATATACCGTTGTCCATAACTAAGTGATTTAATGTATCTACGTATGTTATTAAGTCAATTAAATTCTGATATTGATGTACTCTTTATATGAGTTGTAGAAAAACAATTTGCTTGAGTGCAATTATCATTTTTACACAGGTGGTATTGCTTAAGTAGATAGTGTTGTTACGTAAGCTTTATTTTATTCTCCTTCCACTTGACGCGTACCTATTGCGATTGGCAGCCTTGTGAAATTCGATGTTGCCACTTTTTTTTACTTTAACTGTTATTTAAGGAGATATCGCCGTGTAACATATTTCGTAATACGTATGTCACGTGAAACTGCTTCGTCGTATATATTTATTACGTATATCGTTGGATCATTCAAAATGAAACTGTTGTTTATCTACTCGCTTCCGATTAATTGCTCAGTAGTTTAAAACGATGGATACAGTTTGAAAAATGAGTAGGAGAACAAGATAAATATTCGAAAGTAATATGACGTGCTCGAATATATTTGCGCGTCGGAATACTTAGCCGTTTATTTGCCGGGGTGACTTGTTGGATCACGCCTACCATCCGTGATGCCCGGACGCAAAACAAGTTTTTTAATATACAGTTTTTTTTTTATTAACCCGGCTCAACTCGCGCCCTTAAATGTTACGCAAGCACTCGCGTATACTTTTTTATTTGCTCACGCTAAACAAACAGAGCATGTGGATATTTTTTGTTATGAATATAATAATACACATTAGATTTTATGAATTAATTATTTATTGAAAGAAAAAACAGTGATATACGTTTTTTATGACAATTTAGGAACTTAGATTTGGCAGTATATATGTATTCTTTTCTTTTGATCTGATAAATAATTTAAAACAACGATGCCAATCGCACGAGTAAATTTAAAATGAAAAGACATTATTTTAGTTACAAATTATTGATTTGTTTATAACAGAATTTCACATATATAAACTAAGTGAATGTTTCAAATGTAAACTATTTTCATGTAGAGAATTAACCAAATAACATTTAATAAAAAATAACAAAAAAATAAAAAAAAATATCTAAAAAGGCGCCACCAAAACTGAAAGTTTATTATATAGATTAATTTAAGTCTTCCTAAGTTTTATTTTGCTTAATGTAGAAAAAAACTTAACTTTGTGAAATGTTGTGTTTTTAAATGTTATAAGTATAAGTTAATTTGTCTCATTAATTTACTTAGTAAGGAAAAATAATAATTTTTAAATCCATGATAATCACGGTGTACCTGTTAGTTAGTATTAAGATGTTTGTTATTTATTTCTCAGGGTGTTTTATAATTTGAGTATGTTTAATTAGTAATTGTTTATTTATTTGAATGCCTCGTTAGTCGTAAGTGCGACTGTTGATCATGAGTCTCCGCGGGTCGCGGCATAGCCAGTTTGGGCATGTTATTCTTGCTTTTTTAAAGCAGTTATGTGCTCCTTTGGTTTTTGTTTTCTCTGCATATTTATAACCATCGACTCTAAAAGTTCGCGCTATTTTTGAATTGGAGCTCCAAAGTGGAAATAATGCGTCTCAAATGATACGCGATATCAAAGACGTATACGAACCTAGCAGCTTTAGATATTTTTTACCCCAAAATGAACCTCGTGACTGCCCAGAGAAGAAAGTTGATAATGACGAACTGAAGGCGTAGCGTCGGCTTTTAATTTAAGTGTCAAAACAATATTAATTGTTTAAATATAATATAAAATAAAAAAGCTTGACAAATGGGTAGGTCACAAACTGAGTGACGCACAGTTGATAGAGATGTTGGCAAAATTAGCAGAATTGAAGATAGAGACAATTTCCCATTCCCATAAAAAAAAATTAAAACCATTTTTACATACTGTACGCGCACCTAGCTGTCCCTACAAAGATCCATACAGGGGCCCATACAGCTGTCAGGTTCGCCGGACAACTAAGTGTGGGGCTCAAATGCCTATGGATATTTAATATCTATATGGATTAGGTACTTAATGAGACTTACCTGGGTCAGAAGCGAAGAAGGGTCACAAGGCTCGTTCAGGCGTCAGGTGTAGTGAATGTAAGTAGTGTGTGAGAGGTGTATGTATGTTTAACCCGAAATAGCCCTTTTTAATCAGCAGCAACCCTGACTCCGGCACCGCCCCCCGGCGTGGTATTCTCCAGCGGCGGCGGCAATGGACAATTTCTTTCTTCAATTCAATATGTCAGTCTATCAACTTTATTGTACATTTAACTAACTTCAAAACGAAACTAAATCCCGTTAATTATAATTAAAAACGTAACACGCGGCACGACTGGTAACGGTGGGTCAAAGTTCACTTCCGTTCACTCCGCAACAAAATATTTCGAAAACCGAACGCGACCTTTTAAGGCACTTAACGCAACGGTACAATTAAACATTAACTTCTCAACAATTAGTCAACCCGGCGTCTAATGTTCTAGACTACACAATTCCTCGTCGTTGCACAAATCCGTTAACAAAATCGGCACTATCAGAGGCAACCACGCGGCTCAGTTCGACTCACAGCAATCAATATACCACCTAATCCGAGGCGGTCTTCATTTACACAATTTAAGTAGCGAAGTAACGCGCACGAATACTGAAAATCTAGAACATAAAACAAAAACTGGTCGCACGAAATCGCTGTCACGGTCACTACAAATTAGCTACGTTGCGACGGCGCCGCGGCCCTAAAGTTACTGTTCTGCTCGCGCGTCGAGCGACTGCCAGCGGCACGCCCCCCCCCCCCCCCCGCCGTCGGCGTTACCTCACCTCGACACCATCGGGTGATTCGCCAAGCCGAAGGCGATTGGATGCCGTCTAACATGACCATTTTTGGGTCTAAACACATACTAAACGGCATTTTAAAGGTAGATGTAATATATGGCACCTATCACATTTATATTGTATTAATGAGTACATTCCAAATATATTTTATTTGAACATGTTATATATCTTATTTTTGTTAGTTCACTGGTGTCGGTTTTTAGTAATAATTTACGTGTCAGTGTTATCTAAATAAAAGTTATCTTTACTTTTCATAAGTTAAATAATTAACTATGAAAGTCAATGCAGTGTGATAGCCTTTAAAGAGAACCTATCATGCTGTTTCATGGCGTGGTTGGTGGGTGTCGTTAAATGTGACTTAGAAACATGTTTAGGCCAAACAATTAACATTTGAAATTTGCATTCCACTCGTGTCCGTCCGCTGACTTTGTAAAGGTCACCCTTGCCTCACTCCCGTGTGCGTCGCTCGGCAGAGGGCGTTGGGGGCAGAACGCGAGTGCGAAGAAGTAGTATCTCGCTGGCCGCGATGCGGTCAATACGCGTATCTCGGTTATCTCTGCCGAAGTTCACGCGACCGATGTAGGGTCCAGATGGTTAGATTTAGTGCGTGTTACTTCGCTACGTAATTGTGTTTCGTGAAAACCGCCTCGTTTTAGGTTGTCTAGGGTGTAAGTTCTTGACAAGAGGCTTGTTTTGTGTTTGACTGATTAAAGTAACTTCTTTGAAAGTAATTGTGCCGTCGCGTTAAGTGCCCTTCTTTGTGTGTTGACTGTTTTGTTCGT